AAAGATTTGATTTGACAACTCACTTTTTTTTCGTTTCAACATCAATACGCCATCACTTTTAATTTTTTACACTTGAACGCCTTAGAAAGCATCTAGACGATTTCGTTAGTTAGTTGCCGTATATTGTATATTTAAAGTTGTAAAATTTCATTTTATATTTATTTATACTTGAAACGACAACCTTGGCATTGGAATTCTATACAGTTTTAACATTTTGTTTCTATATAGAAATTCAACCACAAAAAATATGAGATATAATTTATTTGAATTGTTAACAGATATAATGAAAAAAAGTAAATGTAAATGTATTTTTAAGTACGCTACTCTTGAAAATGTAAGTAATTTTTTTAACATGAACGTAAAGTTGGAGTTAAGCTAAAGTTTAAAGCTTTGAGCTTTGATTGAGTTTAAAGTATTTAAAAGAGCTTTCATTTTAAACTTAGTACAAAATAAAAGTTTTTGTACTTCAGTCAAGCTTTTTAAAAGCTTTTACTAAAAGTTTTCTACATTAAATTTCCATTAAATAAGCTTTAATAGCGAGTTCAACGTAATACAAGATAAAACTACTTTAAATCTTAAAAACATTCTGTTTAAAATTAGTTAAAAATTGTTTGCTAAAGAAACTTTAAAAAGCTCAAACAAGTTTTTTAAAAACTCTTGTTGAATTTGCATTAAAAAAGCTTTCATAACATTTGCCGTAATTCATGATAAATAAACGTTTTAATTTAAAATCTGAAAAACTTTCTACTTAAACTAGTTAAGAATAAGTAACTCTTCAAAGCTTAGACAAGATTTTTAAAAGCTTCTGTTAAAAGATCGCTACATCGAATTTCCATTAACTTAAAACCTTGAAAGCTTTATGTTTAAACTCAATTTAAAGAAACTTTAAAAAGCTCATACAAACTTTTTGAAAGCTTTTGTATAAAAGAATATGATTATCCGTAATTTTTAACCCAAGATTAAACTATGTTTTAATACATAGTTTTGAGTTTGGAAGTGTTAAGAATAATTTCTAAAAATTTTAACTTTTTAATGTTAAAGGGTACCTTAAAGTCTACTCTAAACAACTTTGCCTTTAAATATTTTATTTTATTATTATTGTTATATTATTATATACTTATATGCTACCACATGACACAGTCCACGGGTATTTGCAATTATAAGTTAATTTTAATACCTCTACGCGCAGTTACTACTGAAATATGTAAAAAAAGCTGTAATTTCCTTATTTGCCAATATAATAAACTTGTATTCAGTTGTATTTATGTATAAAACGTGTTAATTTACATTTTTTTTTTTTTTTTTTTGTAAAATAATATTTACGCCACTAATCAAGCGTTTTTTTACACATGGACAGCAGAAGTTTAGTTTGTGAAGCTTTTTTCATTCTTTCCCTAAACCTTGATTAAATACAGTAACAGAATTTTAAATACAAAATGTAGGGCTAGTGTTAAACTAAAAGATTAAACGTAGTAATTAAACCTTTGTTAAGCATGATTTAATTAAGTTTAACCTTAAAACAATAATTTAAATTTATTAATTTTTCAATAAAAATTGTAATTCTTACACGCCATATAATTAAACTTTTAATAGTTTATTAAAATTTTATTAACTATCTCTTTAATTTAATTAATTTTTCTATTTTTTTTTTTAATTTGCAGGTCAATTGATGCTATTCTATGGCATTTTCTACATTGTATTAGCTGGTTTATTTACAATTTGTATGGAAGGTCTTTTCTCCACATTGCACGATAACGAACCCAAATGGAAACTAGATGAATCATTAATCGGTACAAATCCCGGCATGGGCTTCCGCCCCTTAAGTGAAGAAACTGAACGTGGTTCCGTTATACAGTTCGACACCAAAAAGAATGCCGAAAAGAAATATTGGATTGATTTATTAGATGAATATATGAAAGGTACGGGCAGCATTATATATAAGACTAAATTTGAATTATTTTCCTATTTTTTTTCCAATTTTAGACTACAATGAAACCCATGTTGGCAAAAGTTGTTCCTTCAATCAAACCCACAATCCCGAAGATGTTTGTATGGTTGATATTAAGGAATTTGGTGGTTGCTCTCCACAAAAAGCCTACGGCTATAATAATACCCGTCCATGTGTTTTCTTGAAATTGAACAAGATCTTCAAGTGGGTGCCTGAATTTTATGATGATCCTAAAGATTTGCCCGAAACTATGCCCGTACAATTGAAGAAACACATCGAGGATGTCGATCCTTTAAGCGTAAGTTTAACAAAAAAATTTATTCAAAATTGTATATAATTTCTGAACATAACGTGATCAATTAGTAGCTTTTCCATATAAAATTCGCGTTTCCATTGAAAAAAAGCTTTTCCATAGAAAAGAAGCTTTTCCCTAGAAAAGTAGCTTTTCCCTAGAAAAGTAGCTTTTCAATAGAAAAGTAGCTTTTCAATAGAAAAGTAGCTTTTCAATAGAAAAGTAGCTTTTCAATAGAAAAGTAGCTTTTCAATAGAAAAGTAGCTTTTCAATAGAAAAGTAGCTTTTCAATAGAAAAGTAGCTTTTCAATAGAAAAGTAGCTTTTCAATAGAAAAGCAGCTTTTCAACAGAAAAGTAAAAAAAAAGAAAAGTAAAGAATAAAAAGTAGCTTTTCCATAGAAAAGAAGCTTTTCCATAGAAAAAAAGCTTTTTCATAGAAAAAAAGCTTTTTCATAGAAAAAAAGCTTTTTCATAGAAAAGAAGCTTTTTCATAGAAAAGTAGCTTTTCCATAGAAAAGTACCTTTTCCATAGAAAAGAAGCTTTTCCATAGAAAAGAAGCTTTTCCATAGAAAAGAAGCTTTCCCATAGAAAAGAAGCTTTTCCATAGAATAGTAGCTTTTTCATAGAAAAGCTTTTTCTTAGAAAACTTTCCTTTCCATAGAAAACTTACTTTTCCTCACGTACTTCTCTGTAAAAACTTGATTTTCACATGATTTTCTATAGAAAACTAGCTTTTCACTATAAAATTTTCTTTCTATAAAAAATATTCAATTCTGATTTTCCTTGTTTCTAAATAAAACATTTCTCTCTCTCTCTCCTTACAGCGTCAACAAATCTGGGTTAGCTGTGATGGCACCAATGCTGAGGACAAAGAAAACTTGGGTGAAGTCAAATACTATCCTTCTCAAGGTTTCCCCGCCTACTATTATCCCTTCCTTAACCAGCCCGGCTACTTGAGTCCCTTAATCGCTGTACAATTTGAAAAATTGCCCCTTAACAAAATGGTCAACATTGAATGTCGTGCCTGGGCGAAGAATATCATTTACAGTGGCAGTGTACGCGATCGCAAGGGTTCCGTTACCTTCCAAATCTTTATCGATTAGGGTATAATAGACGTGATCAATCAAGCAGCATTAGGTGTTGTTACAAATAGAAACCTTTTGCCATAATGGCCTTTTTATTATTATTTTTTTTTTAATAAAAAAAACCAACAACAACTGCAAACAATTTATGCCATTAACATTTCCTAGTAAAGAAAAAACACACACACACACATACAAACACGCATATATACAACCATACAATCACAGACACACATTTTAATACTTTCTATACTATCGGTCTGTCTGTCTGCCTAACAGTCAGTTTGTCTAAAAATCTTTCTATTTATAAAAAATAATTGTTTTTGTTTTTTGTGTTTTTTTTTTTTTTAAACTTGTAATGAAATTTATTAAATTAACTATTTAAAGATTAAAAGATTTTATTGAACCGTGTCGGTTCTAGTAGTTTATTATTTAAAAAAAGATAATTCTACTATAACAACAATAGCAACAACAAATTATTTAAAATTACAAAAAACAAACGCACAAATTAAAAGAAATAAAAAAACAATTTAAAACAAATCAAATGCAATGAAATAGTAACCTGAACGTAACTAAATGAATTTGAATTTAAATTTTGTACTCGTATGTGATTTTGCTTTTGTTTTAACATTTGTTTTGTTACATTTATACCATAATTAAATAAATAAATATTTCTTAATTATTTTATTTCTTTTTGGCCATTAAGAGAAAGAGAATATAAAATGTTTATCATGTGTTATTTAATGTTAATTAATTAATTAAATTGTAAAAGTGTTAAGTGTAGAATGTACATAATTTCATATTGCAACAAGATCTATAATAATAATAGATACTTTACAATAGACCTAAGCTGTAAACAAATTAAATGAAATGAATAGATAAAATCTTTAAGCTAAAAATATTTACAAAATTGTATTTGAATTGTTAAGAATATATTATTATTAAGTCTGTTGTCTTGTTGTATTTCAAATATTTCTGCTTCTTCTTATTCTTTTACTGTTAACTTCTATATAATTATTAGTCTTTACGAAAACTTTTTTGTTGAATTAACTGCACTTTACCATTTAAAGTGCAGGCCATTTTCAATGTTTCAAAACCCTTGTTTATTTATGTAATTATATATTTGTATTTTACCAAAAACTTTAAGAAAAAAAAAAATAACATAAATTTACAAAATTTTATTTTGTGAATTTAAAAATAAAAAACTAAATTGTTTCATTTTTCTGATTCTACCACCCCCCTGTGAATTTAGCTTGAAATTAAACCTGCTTAACCAAAATTTTTTTCTAGTGACATTTCTATTTTTACAGTATTGAGGGTCTTAGTCAAAAACCCTCTTTTTCCACTTTACAAAAAAAAAACATAAAAAATAGTTTTGAAATTCCTAAACTTTGTTGTTAAATTCAAAATCATTTACTTGAAACAGCAATATTCTTTTAATTATTATAAAACTAAACAGCTAAATAATTATTTAATAAAACTAAATAAATCATTTAATTTAAACTTTTTATTAAATTTATTAAAAAAAAAACCTTTTAAGCTAAAAATAAAATAAAAATTTGTTAAATAAAACAATTTGAAATGTGAGTTTTTATTTATTTGTTTTCAAATTTATTTTGAAAATTATTTTAAATCTCTTCTTTTATTATTGAAAATAGTTTTTTGGGGGTTTAATGAAATTTAAAAGAATTAATAGTGCAAATAGTTTTTGTTTATAATTATTAAATATAATTTGTTTAATACTTTTCTGGAAAGAAACCATACATTTTGTTAAAATTTTGTTTTATTTTAAAATATTTTTTTCCATCATTATTATTAATAATATTACATATTACTTATTAATAGTAATTCATATTTATTTGTTTAAATAGAAAAATTCATGTTTTGTCAATTAACTTAATTAGCTAAATGTTAATAATTAAAAAAAAAAATGATGTGTCAAAATTTTCATTTAATTACAATACTTTTCGTTTTTTATTATTTATTTGTTTCTGACGAGCTGTGTAACAGTCATTTGTTTGCTAAACACAACAATCGCGCCAGGCGTTAACTACACTTGTCGTTGTGAAAATGAAAATTAAACATTTAAATAATCAACTTTAAGAGTCAGTTTTCAGGTTAACGTTTAAGGCTTAAATTAAATTTAATCTTGGAACGTTGTCTAGAGGAATCTCTTTAGTTAGTTTGCTAGTTTAAACTTGGTCAAAAAAAAGTCCTAATATTAACATCTGATGCGATTTTGAAAAATATGAAAAATATGTCAATCTGTCATTTGTTTATTAAATAATTTAAAATAAGTTTTCTTCCCTTCTAATTTTTGTTTAACAAAAAATAACATCGTTTTTAATCTAAAGACCTTTAGAAATACGGCCACTATTTTACAATTCCTTTTTTTGATTTTTAACTAGTACAAAGTTTTTTGATTTTCAAATTATGTTATTTTAAATAGAAATAGATAAAATTTAAATTTCTCTTAGGGAAAAGTTTGTTTTGTTTTTAATAGATTTCTTAATAGTAGTTTTGGTTTTAGTATAAGGTAAGTATAATGTATGTAATATCATTGTTTTGTCATGTTTAAAAGTAGGTACAGAAAAATGACCTATAAACCAATTTCGGAGACAAACGGTCTTGTGGTATACATTCAAGATTTTGAAGTATTGTGAGAAGTCTGAATTGTTTAACTATTTAGAATTCTTATTGGTTTATAAGTCATAATTTACATTATAAATATGTAAATAATTATAATACATTTATAAATAGCATATTCTAACTATAAAATAGAAGTATTTATCCATAGGTTTCCAAAAAAATATATATATAATTTTTAAATATTGTTTGGAAATTATAAAAATCCAAAAATTTTGCGATGAGTTATTATCATGAATCCATTTTGATATATTCACCTTCGTGAGAGAGTATACATATATGTATATATATAAATTTGTCATTACGTTTGTAACTTTAATATCTTCCGACCCTCAGCATTTAAATTCAGGTGAGAAGTACGAATTTAAATCATCAAATTGTAAAAACGAAAACAGAAAGGGGCAGGGGATCGGAAATCTTTTCCGAAAAACTGAATCTTCTACTATCTCTTCGACTACCTGTCACCTACACGGTTCTTCAGACAGAGATATATGACATCGATACAGCCGCGAGAAGAATCCGGGAACAAAATCTTGAAAATTCGAGCATACATATATACTTGGAGGCTCTTAAATTCAATGTTATTAAGTCGAAATGTCAATTGTATTCAATCATTGGCACAACTGACGCAACATTACGTTAAGTTGATATGGGTTCTAGGACATGGGGGCATCCGGGGAAATGAAATATCTGATGAATGCGCAACCAAAGGGTCGTCCCTAGACTTACCCCTAGCGCAAAGGGATATTCATACTCCCCTGGCGACCCTATCAAAATTGATAGATGACTGGGCTTTCAGTGAGACGGAACTCAGGTGATCAAATATCACCACTTGTAGAATATCGAGACTGCTCTGGTCCACTCTGACAACGGATTGGACATATGTCGTGACATATGGGCTACCCACATTATAGCTACTGTAGAAGATGTTTGGAGGAAGAAGAAGTGGAATCCGTATAACACCTTCTATGCGACTGCCTAGCCTTACAAGAGCACAGACTACTTTATCTTGGTAGAGCTCTTTTCCACGAACTGGAATGTCTCTGAGATGCGTCAGTAGTAAACATAATCGGTTTTATTAGGAACACCGGCTGGTTTTCACGAAGACCGCAAGAACCAAATAGTCAACGAAATTAGGGTGGGAAATCATTCTCTCAACATAAGGGAATGAAAATTCTAAGGGTATAACAATGGGCCACAAGGCCTTCGGGTGAACTCGCTAACTAGCGAGCAACCCACGTAACCTCACCTAATAAAGATCATACCTAATACCAACAAGGATGTAAAACCGATATCTAGTACACAAAATATGAATTTTTGGGAATATGTCCTAGACAGTCACTTTGGGACAAGCCAAGCCCAAGACACTCTGAAAGATATATCGGACCTCATCTGAAGCAAAGGCAATCGAATTGCCCCAGTAGCTAAATATTATGAATGAACTCAAGAAGAAGCAAAGCTCCCCGTCGTCCTACTTGGCGACAATGCCAAACTATCTTACTCAAAGGAGTCTCTAGTCAGTATCCTGCGAATTTCACTTGATACCTTAAATTTTTCAAATGATTTATTGTCAATAAAGCAATTCTCTGTAAGCGGTGTTATGTATATGAAGACTTGGGTCAATTATGGGCCGTTCCGTTAATAAAAAACAATATTGTTTAAAACTTGTTTACGTTAAATTTAATTTGTATGTCAATTATCGGCAATTTCTGAAATGGACTTTATGTGGGGACCGATTTTCCCCATTTTCAATATCAAATATAATTTCAATAATAGAAAATATTTCGGTTTATATCGTCCCAAAATCTTATAATTGTCCAGAAAATGTATTCTTTTGTGGGTCTACGACCACAATGTGTTACAAACAGAATGATAAGATCAATATATTTTTTGATGGTGAGTAAAAAAAGAGGTTAAATACTTCTATATCATATTCAAGTCTTCACAATTTCATCTAGTAGAAGGATAAAATGATGGAACTTTGTGAAATCTTGTATGCAAAAGAATCAAAAAAATGTTCATTTAGTTCGTTCATTTTGTTCCTGCTGAATAGTTCCAATGGTTCTATTGTTAATAGTTATTAAACCATAATTAGGCAAAATTCTACAATTGATAAGATTTGAATCCTTTACTTGAATGCTAAATAAAACTGTGAAACTCTTAGCTAAATTTGAAAAGCTTATAGCAATAACTTGATAAGTTACAAAATAAAATTAAAAAAACTATTTTAAAATTTAAAATTTTTAAGACATTTATAGATTTTTTTTAATTGAAATTTGATAAAGAAATAAGTTTATGTTATCATATAACTTAACACGTTACTGCAATAAGCCCTTTAATTTGTGTCTCATATCTAAAATAATAATGAATATTAAAATATATTTAAATTTAATAGTTTTATTATATTGTATGTGTATTTTATAATTTGTTGTTAACTATAGTTAATTGGTTTTTTTTTTTTTTGTTTATTTTGAGTTTAGTTTCAACATTGTTACAAAATAATGACAATTTTATTTTTATTATTAGATAAGTATTTTTTTAAGTATTTGATTTTTTTTTTGCTTGTAAGTTTGACGGATTGTTGTATGAGGCATTTCGAAGAAGAAATTTTTTCATTCGTTTGTTTTTTTTTTATAATTAGTTTAACATAATTTTTATTCATTCATACCTATTTTTCTATAATTAGTACACTCAAAACGTCTAAATATTAATAGTAGATATTAATACATATTAAGTTATTTAGTTTAGTAACTATTTACGAATGGAATGTTTGGGTTTAGAGGAAAAGATAGAGTTTTTTAACTTGAAAAAAACCAAATAATTTTTAATTTTAACTACTAATTATCAAATTGCTTAATATTTTTTTACTGTTTAGTTTTTTTATATTAAATCACAAAATAATTTATCACATTTTTAAAATATTTAATGACAATTTTTTTAATATCCTTAAAAAACAATTTAAATATCAACTATTTTTTCAGTTTTTCATATTAAAAATTCTTTCGAACAAATATAACTACTTGTTTTTGTTTGTTTTTTAATTAAAATTTTGTTTTGTTTAAATTTGTTTTATATTTTAAAGTAAATAATTTATATATTGTTTTTGTTTTGTTTATGTATGTATATTAAATATTTTGTTTAACTACCATATAAAACTATGAAAACTTCTTTTGATCTTTATAGTTTTGATTTCGAAAATTGAAATATTTTTGTGGTTTCAAAGCCTCTCTTGTACTTCAAGATTGTTTAAAGCCCCACATTTCGGTTTCATAATAGATGCGATAGATGTTATCACGTATTAATTTGGATTTTTCTTTGGGCAGAGCCAGTATGGCCTGTTGTTTTTTGAAAAATTCCAAACACAAATCTTGTGGTGCACCCAAGGCATGTATATTGCAAGTAAATGAACTAAAATAATAGAAATTTTGTTAAAAATCCTATTAATCATTTTAAAACCAAACTTACGTTAATTGTCGAAATGATATATTTTCCATTTCTTTATCCATATCGCTTCCGGCTGCCTCATTTACCACTTTCGGTGAACGTTCCCTTTTGATTTTATTGGCATGACTATGATGGGAAGAACTTGAGGTGGAAATTTCAGTTTTATTTAAAGCTTTTTCTTCATTGTCAGTTTCAGTAGTTTGAGGCTTTGGTTCTGGCTCCACTTCATTCTTAGTTTTTTGCTTAGCCTTACGTCTTTCCTGTTTCTTTTGTTTAGCCAAAACACGATGATCCCTTTCCGATTGTAGGGATTCAAAAAATGCTGTATTCCAAAAGCGCAAAGACAACCATATAGGCTGTTCACGCATAAAAGTAAATAGATATTCACGGTAAGCATCACAACCGGGAACATCAACTAAAATTTTAAAAAATAATTATACCAAAATTATATTTTAAAACTTAATTTCTCTCAACTTACTTTCACGATAAAATATGAAACACAAATTCATTATAATGGCAGCTGGTGGAAAATGTTCACATTCATTGCATTCGAATAAAACCAAAGCAAAATGTTGTATCAAAGAATGAAAAGTCAATTCATTCACCACCTTCACCTTATTCTTTTGATCCACCAGAAAACGTACAAACCATTGACGTCCTATTTCTAAACGTGTCATGGCACCAAATTCCGATTTCAATTCCAAATCTATAGCATTTGCATTGGAGAATAAGGTTTCGGTAAAACGTTTCATAAATTCTTTAATGGGCTCTTCACCGGCACGACAATCTAGACTTATGGAAGAGGCCCATGAAGGCACCGAATTTTGCGATTCTGAACGTATAAAATTACGCCAGTCGGTCGACTCTACACTGGGACTAACCTGGCACTCTAGATCATCACGCAAACTAGTTAAAGTACTGCTATTGGAATTTTTACGTCTAACAGGAGGAACTCTTATGGAATGATTTGAGGTTGCCGCAGCGGCATTAACTACAGATGATTTACTAAGTTCACGTTCATAAGAGGGAGGTTGTACCTCAATATGAGGCGCTGTACTACCAGCCGGCACCACTGGATGTGTGACACTAGCTGTTGAACTTTCACGCATTCTCATTAGGTCTCTTTGCATATCCAGTTCACTGCGTCGAGCACCGGGTATGGCTCTTGCCCTTTCATAACCACCCGAATGTCGGGATTCTATGGAATCGGAACGTGTAGTGCTACTAACATGAGATCTATCCTGTAGATTGTTTTGAAACGATCTCGAGGAGGTTGAGGTAGACGATGATGAGGAGGAGGATGATGAAGAAGATGAACGGGATTTGTCACGTTTCTTATTGCGCAAGGCATCCAGGCGAGGTCCTTAAGGAAAATTTAAAAAAGTATTTAGCCAAAGTTTGAGTGCTAAGTGTTTTCATTAGTAACTTACTTGGTGCTAAATTCGGTTGTCTATAGCGACCAGATATGATTTCTTCATGAGCTCGTCTTGCCTTAACCCTACGAGCCTCATAGTCTATTTTCGTATAATCAATGGATTCATCAACTAATGTTTAAAGAAATTCATTGATATGGAAATTATAGAAAATTTTATAAAATAAACTTACATTTAGGTATTTCTTCCTCATCATCATCACAATAGTCCGAATCACTTGAACTGATATTAAGGGTGAACTAAATTTAAATAAAAAATAAATTTAAATTAATTAATTATAAATATTTCTTAAATTATATATTTATCACAATTTTGAAAGATTGATTGATTACCGGAAGTCGAACTATGGTGTTTGTATTACAAAAAAAATTAAAAAAAAAAAATACTAAATGGAAAACGAAAAAGTACCAGAAAGTCCCATTTTTTATAGATTTTCATTCAATGAGAATGCTGCGTGTTCATTTCAAAAAGTACCAGTTGGAAAACAAAAAGAACAGTTTAATCTTCCAAATGTTGATTCCATCAGGATTCTATATGTCCGATTTTATGTTTCTAGGTTTAATAATTCAGAAAATCCAAAAGGTACCATTTAAATTCTAAAGGTACCAGAAAGTACCCATTTTTAGATTTTCATTTAAGTAATATGCTGCGTGTTTAATCTTGTGTTTCTAGGTTCAATACTATAAAATATTCAAAAAGTTTCAGTTGAAAAATGGAAAAGTACCAAAAATACTTTCCTATAGATTTTCAGTCACGCAGGATTTCAAATGTTTAATTTTATGATTCTAAATTCAATATTTATTGAAAATTGAGAAAAGTACCTTTTGATGGACGAAAAAGTACCACAAAGTCTACTCTCATTAATCTGGCTCTATATGTTTAATTTTACGTTTCTAGGTTCAATAATTCAAAAGTACCATTTAAATTACTAAAAAGTACCAGAATTTAATCACCGCGTGTTTAATGTTGCGTTTCTATATTCTATATTATTAAAGATGTAAAAAGTAAAAATTTTCATTCACTCAATTTTGTGAATGTTTAATTTTATGATTCTAGTTTCTATATTATAGAAACTTCTAAAAAGTACCTTTTGAACAACAAAAAAGTACCATAAATTGCGCTCTCAATTATTCCGGGCTTTATTTCATGTGAAGATACCTGGTACATATACAAAGACAGACGGTCATGGTTAAAATCATATTATGGAAATCACAAAACGGAATGACAAACTTATATATACCCTTCTCATACCCGGGGAATGTTTCCTTGATGAAAGACCCTCATCTTGGTGTACTACAATTCCAGGGTAAAGAGGTGCTACCAGTACCTCTAACTAGTCTGCCGGGACTAGTCGTGGAATGATTTGACATGGGGTCTAACCAGAGAACCACATTATCTGGTACTACGGGTGGCCAGTTGCCCACAGCACTTGTCCTGTCTGGTCAGTTAGTTGAGGTTCCTTCGGAATCCACGTAGTAGCTGTGATTTAAACCCACATTCTATATTTCGGGATAAGTTCAGTGTTATGGCCGATTGACAACATATATACCCTGACCTGACTAAGCGTTGGAAATGAGTTGGTGTTAATTGTATATGATACGGGATGGATGTAGGGGTATACGGAACTTGCCCGGCCGTATACGTAGAGTGAGTCTGTCGTTCTCTTATGAGTGTGACGGATAAGTGAGAAGTGTGCTGGGTTGAATGGTGATGGATGAAAGGTATCTTATACAAGCGATACCATTAAATTTTCCTTCCTTGTCTAGAATTATAACAGTGTGTCACTGTGAGTAAGAACAGAGTCACGGCTTATTTGATGGATTCGTACTTCAGTTTACCGATTACGTCTCTAAGTGCTGACTCTACAGAATCCATCCCATCTACGTGGTTGTAAGCGGAAGTGATGGTTTTGCATCGCGGAAATTAAGCAACGGGGCAGCAATGGTCAGAGATTAGATAGCTCAAGTACTTGAGCAAAGTGCACGTATACTGGACCGGAAATTCCATATACATAAATTGCCACCTGAGTGTAAGAAGCGCAATGGGAGGTGGTGAGTCGTTACAAAAGCTCCCCCAGTGGTTGAAAAAGACCACCGTAAAATGGGCCAACTCGGCAGGTGTTCACGTAAAGCACTTCGACATTAATACCATTCTCACGAAAAAAGACCCCATTCTAGACTTTTTACAAAAAAGTTCTAAAGATTGTCTGAACTTTTTTCAAAGATGACAATTTTGTAAAAAAGTATTATGGTTTAAGGATCGGTCTGTTAATCGGATACCTTCAAATCAGATCCAAAGCTGAAAATTTGATATTTTTAAGAATAACAATTTTCAAATTGAAAAAATACTTAAATTTGCATTAAGTTTTTTTGCAATAGGCCTTTACTTAAACAATATAGCGTGTTAAAAAAATGTAACAGATTATTATCTTCTAACGTTATATTTTACACATGCATATTTATATACATACTATGCTATCAAAAGTATTTTAATTAAAAACTAAAACACTTCCTTTCACTATTTTCAAAGGTCTTTTTTTATGATTTATTTGCTGCAGTTTGATATTGTCTGCCTCTTTAACAATAGCCTCCAGTCTTTAGGAAAATTTATAAAAGTATTACTGCCGTAAAAGCATATTTCCTCAAACTAGACTCTCTCTCTCTGTGCATAGTCGTAGTCTCCCCTCTAGCTACTCCTCGCTTTCTGTGTATTGCTCTGTCGCTGAATTGCAATTCATTTTGTTGGTATCAAGGCCTTTAATAACATTTTCTTTTACAATTAATTACACACCAACATCCTTGTAAACTAAACACACACAAACTTAGCTAGAAAATAATAAAAAAACATAAACATGTCTATCATACAAAATAGAGAAAGTTTGAGCATTGCTCTGAGTACATACATACATACATACATACATACATACATACATACATACATACATACATACATACATACATACATACATACATACATACATACATACATACATACATACATACATACATACATACATACATACATACATACATATGTATGTATGTATGTTGGAATGTTTGTGTGTTTGCCTTCATATTTTCTCAGTATTCTTCCTTTTTGTTTATGTTTATGACATAGTACAAACTGCAATATTAAACCTTGAAACATATGCTGTCACGGTTATTTTTGTTATTATTATTACTACTACTTTTGCTAATATTTTATATGAGTAAAAATGTTTGTTGTTGTCATTAGGCCTTTCGGCACTAAACAACTCTGTCTTACTACTGCTACTACTACATTTGCAAGGTCAAAGGCAAACAACAACAAAGAGCATGTAAATCATTATTATTATTAAAGGAAACGGAAATGTGAAATGTTGTAACAATTTTGACATTTATTTGTGTTTTGTTATTGTGTTTACATACCTTTGATGAAATGCCATTTAATAATTCATTACTATTTCCCAAAACAGTTAAGAATTTCGATTTCAATATACCAATGGCGGGGGTACGACCCATAAAGCTTTTAATGCGTGATGTTTCACCCACCGGTGGTGGTGTGGCTGGTTGTGAAGGCGTAGAATTAAACATTTTAACATTTGTGTAGCTGTTTATGAAGGTTTGTAAGTGTGTTTATCGCTTTAATAATATTAAACACATTTAAACAGTAATATATAAAAATCAATGTCTGTAGGCCTTTCTTACTTTAAAAGAAGGTTTAATTGTTGTTGTTTTTTTACTTAGATGCTGCCTTTAGAGATTACTGTTGTTGTTGGCAAAGACATTTACATTGTAAGTGTAAGTTCAATGAAACTATTGAACTTTTATTTCCTTTTCTTTAAGGTTTTTTTGCATTCTTTTATATTTTATATTCTAGCCATAATATTTTTATATTACACTAAGTACATATTTGAAAACACACATAATAACACTTGACTGGTCATATTATAACAATGCTAATGCTGCCACAAGATTAGCTGCGGCGCTGGCAATCTAAAACATTTACACACAATTAAATTACAGGCTGCAGCCAACGTCACATAACAGCTAGTAGCAACAGCAACAACAACAATAAAAAACCCGCAATTTAACCGATTATAGTATATTACACTCTATTGTTTACGAGAGTTCATGTTCATCATGATGTATAAGCAGAACATGTTTCCTAGTATAGACATGTGATGTTGTTGCCCAATACCAAGCACCTTCTGCTGCTCCTCCTCCTATTTCTTCTATTGTGAGGGACTCCTGGCCATCAAATGAAATATATGTATATTTTTTTTTTTTTTTTTGTTATTATTATTTCTTGCTTTTTGTTTGTTTTGTCAAATTATTGTGTGTCTGATTATTGATTTTTACACCGTCTTGTGCAATGAAATTTCGTAGCCAACTAGAAAAAAAACCACATTCCTTGAACTTCACTGGCTTTACAGTTAAATATTTTATTATTTCTTTTTTTATCATTCCTTTACTTATTAATTTTTTTTTTTATAATTCTTTTTAACAATTTGTTAATAAAACACTTTAATTTGTTCACAAAACAAGGCACTTTTTTGTTGTTTTAATTTGTAATGTTATTTATGACATATTTTCTTTATTTTTAAATTTATTTAAAACATTTTCTGCCTAATTAAATATTTTATTTAATTTTCTTTTTCTAAATATTTGTTTAAATTTTTCATTTTTTTTGTTTGTAATATTTTGATGTTATTGGTTGCTTGTAAAAATCCATTCTGTTGGCATGAATGAGAAATGCTGCAAATAATACTCATACGCTGTGTAGAGCTTTTTGTTTTTTCTTTTTCTTTAACATAAACATGTGTTTTTCCTAAAGCATACTTTAGGGTGTTGACGTTAATAGAAAAAGCCATAGCTTTATGTTAATATAACAGTGGGGAGGTTTATGTATAAAACAGAAAAAGTTTTTAATTTGAAAAGTCCGTTACAATTAGAGAATTTAAATACAAATTTAAAATATAATTAAAACAAGTAAGAAGGCATGGCCGATGATACCCTACACCAGTGACTATGTTACAAATTTTGATTATTTTTTTAATAATAAAGCGTTTAATTTCATTTATTTATGCAAAATATCATCGTAATGTTAGTGTTTATACGTGAATTTTGTCCATCAAGTCATTTTCTGAAGGTGACTTTGTATGGGAGATAGCGTCAAATGAGATCCGATCATTACGAAAATCAGCAGTAACATTAAAACTTTTAAAAAACTAAGTTTTGCCGATTGATACAAGAACATGTAACATATTTATGAGATCAAAAGCCCTATTCGGGGGGTACGGTTGTATGGGGGTTATACGCAATAATGGACCAAATTAAACCATTTTCAATAGGCTTCATCCTTGGGTCAATTATCTTGAAAATTTGCGACCTGTAACGTGAGCACATGGACACACAGACAGACGGACGGACAGACGGACATAACTAAATCGACTCAGAAAGTGATTCTGAGCCGATTGTTATACTTTAAAGTAGGTGTAGGATTAATATTTTTGGCTGTTACAAACATCAGCACAAACGCATAATACCCTCTCCACTAGAGTGGTGTAGGGTATAAAAAACACACATATTTCTTCAGAATTTAATATAAATATTAGAAAAATTAAATAAAATTTGAAAAAAAAACTTTAAAAATGTTTAAATTAAATGGATGTTGTTAAAAACTTAGTAAAACTATTAGTAAATGTTTTAGTTAAAAAAAATATTTTAATTAAAAGACTTATGGAATGATCCCAAAGATATTTGGAACTTTTAGAAAACATATTCTAGACAGACGGACATTACCAAAAGGACTTCACTAAGGATTCATAAATTAATCTTTGTTACAAATGCTAATGTTACGAAAAAATAGAAAGAAGGCAAAGTCCAACAACATTTGTATGTCAACACTTTTTCAATAATTATTTTTCACTTACATATTTGAAATAAACTAGTAAAAATGAGTAAAAACAAAGTATTTAAAAATTCTCTGTTTTTAAAATTACAAAATAAATAAAATAGTTTTCTATTATATACAAAAAAATCTATTATTTATCATTGATTTTTCAGCATTATCATCTTCCTACAAATATACGTTGATGTTATATGTTTTCCCTCAAATTCACGGAAGAAATCTCAAACTCACTAAATGTCACCAAATCGTCTGTAGCTATCTGTATAAACGGAGAAAAAAGATCATTTCAAGAGTTTTAGAGAACAACACAAATTTTCATTCATTTATACATTTTCCCCCAAAATTTATTGCGTTTGACAATATATACGTAGTGAAAAAGAAAAATACCTAAATATTGAGCAAAAATTTTCAACACTTGTATGCGGCGACAACTAAATATTTTTCTTAGTTTGTGAGCAGCAGTTGAACGATAAATACGAAATTTTTAGAAAAATTGTGCGAATACGGAAACAGACAACGACAATACTAAACGGCACGCGAGTTATGTAAGCAGTATTTAGGCCGTCATTAAATTTAAATTGAAAAAAAAAAAAAATATACATAAAAAAGTTATTTTTATAACTAAAAAAGCTTTTTTTTAAATAAAGAAAAACGAAAATTTGTCAGAAAATTTAAAAAAATTGCAATAAATTAAAACGAAAAAGTAACGGTTTTAAGAAAGTGTACAGTGTTAATAAAACAGGAAGTGTTAAAATTTGAAAATATACATACATATATATACTAAAAGATATCAACCTCCTCACCCTTAAGCAAAGGTTATAAAAAGTTATTAATAAAATCTCTAATTATAAATAAAAATAATTCTATAAAATTTATATATAAAAAAATAAAAATTGTCTAAAAATAAATTTTGAATTTTGCCTTTATAAGCAATAAAAATTAAGCAAAACACACAAAAACATACAAACAATCAAACAAGAAAAGTGTTTTGCGGCATTTAAAAATAGTTGTTGAAATTTTCAAAAATAACACAGCAGCGTCTCCCTGGGCTTACTTACACAGCAGCAGCATCCACGGCAACATCATCAACAACATCATCAGCTACAGCCTCATTAGCAATAGCAATTTTTTATTTTGCTAGCAGCAACATACTCGTACGACATCAACACTTTTTAAAATTTTTTTTATTTCTAAAAGCACCAACAACTTTTAGCCGATGAAAATGACGAAGTCAATCGCATTTTTTTTTAATTTGTTTCTTTTATTTTATTTACGCTGACAAATGTTATTTTTGGCCAAAAATACTATACACGCCACTTTAACATATACAAACACAATTATTTTAAAATATATACAAAGGCACCCATTGTAAATGTTTGCAACATACACAAATAGTCGTTATTTTGAAAAGAAAAAACATCACTTTTTGTATATAGAACAGACAACTTTTTTGGTGTTTTATTTTTCATTCTTATGATTATTTTATATTTCTCTAATATCAAAGCAAATTTTTACAAAATGTGGAGCTAAGAAAACTATTTTTATTTTTAACATAAAAATGCAATTATTTTTGTGGTAAATGGTGCAAAAAAATATTCAACACATTTTAATTTAAAACAGAGATTCTCTATGTAAAATATAAAGGAAAATTTGAAAACTTTATGTGAATATGTTGAAAGAACTTTTAGTATAACTTGCAACATAGTTTTTTTATAACTTGAAACATTGTATTGAAGGAATTTAGGATAAGAACATAAAAAATTGTCAACAATATTATACCCTACACCACAATAGTGGGGAGGGTATTATGCATTTGTGCTGATGTTTGTAACGCCCAAAAATATTGGTCCTACACCCACCCTAAAGTATACTAATCGGCTCAGAATCACTTTCTGAGTCGATTAAGCTATGTCCGTATGTCTGTCTGTCCATCTATGTGACCATGTAACCCGTGTGCGCACGCTACAGGTAGCAATTTCAAGATAAATTGATGAAATTTGGCAAATACTCTTTTTCTGACCCAAGGACGAAGCCTAGACCCTATACAACCGTAGCCCCCGAATAGGGCTTTTGAGCTTATAATTATGTTAAATCTTGTAAAATCTCTATAAAAATCGGCAAATCTTAGCTTTATATAAGTTTAAATGATACAATTTTCGTAATGATAGGGCCTCATTTCACCTCATCCCCCATACATAGTCCCCTTCAGAAAAGGATTTGAAAGTGGAAAGTATCACATTGAAATTCAATGTCATCGTAAATTGCTCTACCAAAATTTATAGGGACAGACCAATTTATCTTTGCCTCATAACCCCTTTTTTAGAAAATCACTTTTTTGTAGGGTATCATATGTTCGGCCATGTCCGACATGCAGTAAAAATGTGATATTTTAAATCTTCTGCCTATATACTACTATACAAATGTACTACCTATATGACGAATTTAGTGCATAAGCATTAACCTAGGTCACCAACATTGAAAAGCTTTTCACAGCACAAACTTTAACAGTCACAGAATCTTTATTAAAATCTAACTTTACAAAGTCTGCACTAAAACCCATATAAATTAGAGGCACTACAGCATAACCATTTTACTCGAACCATCGACACCATCGTACTCGAACATTAATAGGATATTTAAGACTGTAAACATCATAAACTAAGTTCACACTTATAAAAGTACTTATACATATACGTTTTATAACCGAAGCCGAACACTGAATCGGGAATCTGCTTAGTATTTTGATCACCTTTAATTTTGCCAACATTTCCACCCTTTTTCCTCGAGGAAATTTTCCAAACTTTTACGGAATATATTCTTTGAACCAGCTGAAATAAAAAAATAGTATGTGTTCCAAGAGTTAAGATCATTCGGAGTAATGTATATGTTCTGATTATATTTTTTGCACGTTTCAAGATTCTCATGATTTTTATGCTTGTTAGTACTAAGTCAATAAGACTTCGACTTCCAAGAGGCAATTTTCTGATTACTGTTTATCTGAACTTATTGATTATTATGATTTAGAACGTCCCAAAGATCTATGAATAAGAATCAAATACATGTTATTATTACAAGAAGGTAGTCATTTCGATCAGGACTGGGGATCAGACATGTAGACACCTATTTTAGTAAAATTTATATGAGAGGCATTTTTAATTCAAACAATTTTTTGTAATCTATATCTTAAAATCTTTTTAATAGTTAAACATTTAGACCTTTCAATACTTAAACCTTTGTTGTCCCTAAATGAACAGACTTATGTAGTCTTCAAATTTTATAGAAATAACGAAAATAACGATTTGTCCCATTTCGCAAAAAAGTAAATTTTTAGCCCAGAAACTAGATCTAGAGAAGCTTTCTAGTAGAAATATATACACGCCTGGTACCAAATTGACACCAAATTTTTCAATAACATCCGTTGTCAAGTATATACATACATACAACAACAACATGTAATGTTGAGCACGCAACGCTGTAAACATTGCAACAATTCGTTGTCGCAATCTAATTTTTATGCACATCCGTTGTCTATAAGTTAACAAACGTGTTGAGCTTACTATTGACAACGGATTTTGAGTTTATTATGTTTGTTAACTTTAGACAACGGATGTGCATAAATTTCATTACAAAAATCAAAAAATACTAGTCGTAAAGCGAAAAAGTACCACAAAGTCTCACTTTAAAGATTTTCTATCAATCAGGGTACATAAAAGCTAAAGAGTACCATTCATAGAACGTGATAGTACCGAAAACCCTTTCTGCAGATTTTCACTAACTTAGGGCTCTTAATGTTTAATTTTATATTTCTAGGTTCATGAAGAAGGAAAATGTACCAAAAAGTCCCCTTTTATATGTTATCGCTCACTTAATTTCATGTTCTATGGTCAATATTATACGAATAGAAAAAGTCAAAGAAATACTTTAAAGAGCAAAATAAGTATCAAAAAAAAGTTCCTTTATGTGTTTTCACTTAATCCGGCTCTACATTCTTAATTTCATGTTTCTCGGTTCAATATAGATAAAAAGAAACAAAACGTACAATTTGTCAGTAGAACGAAAAAGTACCAAAAAGTCCCCTTTATGTGTTCTCACTTATCCGGCTCTACATCTTAATTTCAAACACATGAAACCAAAACAACTTTCAGCTTGTTAGACATTTATACAAAATGTTTATTTATATATACAAGAATATACCCAGTAGTTCGACAAAGGTCAAACATCCGTAATATCCACTAGGGTCTAACCACAGCGAAACTGTCTTCACTTATGTATCAAAAAAATCTAGAGAGTAGACACTTAAAGTAGCTAAACAAAAGTCCATTGCCATTATTGAGCTTTCTGACTGTCTCTTTGTAATGGATGATGATTGAATTCCTCCTATAGATTATTCACCTAGGTATTCCGGTAGTTAGGAATAAGCCTATGTGATAGATTAAATAGTAGCAAAATCAGAGATGTAACAATTTATGAATGAAATTCGATGGATTTTAAATGAATGTGTTGTTTCTACATAACGTGCGAGTAGCTGAGTAAAAATTTTACTACTATTTGTTTTTTGTTAGATTAACAAAATACAAGTAAAATTGCGCTAATTATGTTTGGTGGAAAATGAGTGATATATAATTATTTTTAATAGAGAACATCTGTACACGAAAAATTGCGAGAAACCTATAAAAAATAGAAATAAAATGAAAACCACTTCCTGTACTCCCAAATAGAAATCACTCTCAATTTCATTTCTCAAGAGAAGGCGAAAAATGAGACAAATGACAAAATTTGTGATAAATAAAAATTAGCAAAAATTAATTTAATAATAAAAGAAAATACACACATTTTTAAGCCAAAAATAATTAAACAAAAAAAAAAATAAACAAAATCAGAAACAGTCGAAAAAGAAAGAAAAACAAACAATTTTACTCAGAGCCGTTAACATGTGGTTCAAAGACATGTACTAAAACTTAATATAAACAAATGGTAGAAAAAGAGGACATTTAACAACTTGAGTAGGAAAGAGGGAGAGCACATTGCACTCTCTGCAGTTCTCTTTTCAAAGGAAAATTCTCATAAGAATTTTAGAGAGTATAGAGTAGAAAAACCTCAAATATTTTGTCAATTTCAATAAAAATTTCTAATATTTTATATTGAATTATACTTAATATATATGTATATGTATATATTTGAATACACAGTCATTTTATCTAGTATATATAGTTTACCCTTGATGTTTTTAAATTTTCTTTTAAATATTTCATTAACAAATTAACAATAACAACATAAGGCCCTCGTATTAATGCATATTAAAACTTAAACATATTTATAATGAAATAGAAATTTGTAAGTATTTTTTAGTATGAATTATCAATTGCAAATTAATCTTAAGATCACAGATTTTCATTATTAAAGCTTCTTTACAAGAAACATCATAGTACTTAATGTTCATTACGGTACTTTTTAAGAACCAAATTTTGCCAAAAGAAATACATTTTTCCCCTGGGTTATTATCTCTGCTGGAGATCTCTTTATATTTCAACTCGCTACTGTGCAAACTTCTCAATATTTTTTTCCAATATTGCATATACTCCTAAATGTTTAGTTGTCATCGCCTTTAATGAGATTCACATTTGGTATTCTATACATTTTTCGATCATATACCATGAGTACTAAAATTTGAAAATTTTCAATTTGACCATCAGTAGTTTTCGTTGCTCGCCATTGTTAGTTGTACGAGTTGTTGCTGCGAAAAAATTCATAATCTAAAAGATGAAAATATTGTAAAAATTTTTATTTAAATTTTAGACGATAGAAAAATATGAGCTCACTTGCAAATAATAGAAATGGAGGGATGTTAATCACTCGAAATGAACGTTCTATGCCAAAATGGGTGGTAAGTAATTGAAAATATTCCGTTGATAAATAATTTCACACTCAGTAATAAGACATAAAATCATGACATGTTGTAAAACAACTGAAATAACATATTGCCCTAGTTTTAAAATTGTTCATTAAAAATGTGATTTATTATGGTATTAAAAATTTTAGTGATTCATTACTTAGTAAATAGTTAACATGTTTAAAGTGATAAAACCAAATAATATTTCTTTTTACGGTCCAAAGACAGAGCAAAGTGATCGCATTGGTCCAAGACCACCACCGCCTCCCTTAACACCGGAAAATGGTCATGCTCCGGCAAAACAACCCAGTTTGCCGCCAAAAACTAAATCGCAACCAGAACCGGATTATGAAGTTATTGAATTCTCTAATCAACAATACTCAAATGCTCCCCTGAGACCAAATTCTGCCAGTTCTGGTTCAAAAACACCAGGTAAGTTATAATCACATTTTTCTCCCCAATTAGTTTTTCTTACAACTTTTCTAATTTAATAGATAATAAACTAAAATGTACTTTATGTGGTTCTGGCAATCCTTGGGTTACCTGTGAAGAATGTGCTCAACAAATATTTTGTGCCTCTTGTGACGATATGTTTCACAAGCATCCCAAACGTAAAGATCATCAAAGAAAGGTATGATCCATATAACATAACAATAAATATAAATTTCCTAAAATTTAACTATTTTCTTACAGACCATCGAAAAGTCACGCCCACCCATACCGCCTAAAACTTTACCCGGTCAACCAGGACCCACACCGCCAGTGGCTCCACCCAGACGCAATAAACGCGGCTTAATGACACCCATCATGCAGCGCAAGGATCAGGTACGCTTCTGCACGATTTTCTAAAGAAAATTCCCTAGACTTTACCGACAATTTCTTTCATTATTCAAAATCGAAAATTGTGTTAATTCTCGTACAGAAATTATTCTGTTCGTAGTTACGCTTGCTTTTTTACGCTGTGCTAACTTATGATTGTACAAGCTTATTATTATTATTATTACTATTCTACATATTATTATTATTATTTATAAATATTATTACTATTTTAAAGAAATTTAAATTTTCTTATCAAGTTTACATTATCAAAAAATAAATAACACAAACCAAAAGAAATCTGAATTTGAATAGTTTTTTTTTTCTCTAATATATACATATGTTTAATGAGTCCTTAAAACATGATCACCATTATATATAACCTTAATCTCAGGGTAATGCTATGCCGGCGCCATTTCCTGTACCTCCATCACCTACACCTTCTATGAAGAATGCATCTTGGCAAGAACGCTTTGGTTCTTTGCCCAGAGGTTTGAACTTATTAAATCGTCCATTGCCCGAAACTCCCAAGACGCCAAGTGAGTCGTCACGTTCAACGACGCCCAAATCAGTATTCGATAATATACAACGTCCACCCTCGGTGGCGTTGGAGAAGATCAAAAGTAAAGCAAATGCTACACTGGATCGCATGCAATTGTTGCAGCAACGCTATAGGCAACAGAAAGAACAAATGGAAAGAGAACGCAGTGGCTCGGTAACAGATCAGGTAACTTTTTTTCTTCTAACAAGAAATGAGAATTGTTTAATTAACTGAGAGAAAGAGTTGATTTCATATAACGCTCCAGAAATATGTGTAATTTTGGTGAGCGCAACATTTCTCTCTCTTTCTCTCATTTATGTCATTCCCTCTCATTTATTTTCATGTAATTCAAAATTGTCTCGTTCTCAATGTTTTCATTGTTTACCTCTCCCCCTTCTCTCTCATATATAATGTATTGTTGGATCTCTGGTCCGTGTCATGTGTAATCCTTCCATATTGGTATCGTATCGTATCGTTGTGATGTCATTGTCTCACTGTAAACAGAATATGTCAGCATTCGATCAATGGTCAAGCATTTCACAATCGCCATCACATTTTCGTTCTGGCAGCATGTCGTCTGGTATCAACTCATCCCATCTAGACCTAATGGATGATAATAATTTCAATTTGTTCCATCAGCGTCAAATGGCATTACAGCATCATCAAATGGCCGTACAACGGGCCAATCAGTTAGGTCAACGTGGCATGTCCAGTTCGGTATTTAATCTAAATCAGATAAACCGCAAACAGAATGTAACAAACAATGGTTGGATGAATAATCCCATGCAACAGGTACAAAATTTATATGTAATTAAAAAACTTCTATCAATTATTGATCTAAATATTATTCTTTTAGGCCCAGTCCATGGCTCAGTTAAATTGTGCCAATTGTGCTCAGCAACAATCTCAATGGAATGGACCCAATCAGCATCATATGCATATGCATCAAGATCCCTGGAGTAATCAGTTGTCATCACAGCAACATTTAAATCGTTCCAATATGTCTTTGAATGTTCCCGCTGGCTATATGATGCAACCACACATGAATGGCATGTATCCACCACCGACTTTCATGAATCAAAGAGGTTTCCAACAAATGTATCCACAGCCTTACATGGGTGGTATGCCTGTAATGAATCCAGGTTTGTTCATATAAAAATAACATTCTAAATATTACAAATGATTTCACATGTTGTATTTCTTGTTGCAGGTTTAATTGGTATGCCACCTTCCACTTCTCGCGCAGCTTCACGAGCTGGTTCTCGTATGGCTTCACCAGCAATGAGCCGCAAATCTGTTACATTAAGGCGCAAACAACGTTCTAGTTATATCGACGATGAAGCTACCGATGATGAAGATTCCGATGAAGATGATCGTCGTTCAATAACTTCAGCTCGTTCTGGTGTTTCAAGAACTCGACAAAGACGCATGTCCAGTGCTTCCCAATTTCCTCTAGACGATGATATTGAATTATCGCAGTCTAAAGCACATCGCAATCGAGCACGCAACCAGCGCAGAGATTCAATTGCCAAATCCGTTCATAATGATTGGGCACCAGGAAGAGGAACATCTTCCAGCAATAATAATAATCGTTCGGCAGATTCTGGTTTTAATAGCCCGCTCAAACCCTCACGTATATATTCAGATCTGGATTCAGAAGGTTCGGGTACCAGAGCTTTAGTACAAGCCAAAATCGAACAAAAACTAAAAGAAGAAAATCTTAAACAAAAGTCGTCAAAACCTAAAAGGCAAAGCCAGTCCCCAACACCCCAAAAGACAAGTGCTGCAGTACAAACACCGGCAGTAAAACAAACAACTAAACAAGAAATAATCGAAAAAGTTGTGGACGAACCGGTAAAACAAGAGAGACAGCCATCGGCAAGTGAATCGGAAGAAGAACAGCAACCTATTAAAAAGGAACAGCAGCCATTAGAGGTGGAGGAAAAACAAGAATGTGCTACAGAAGAGGAAGAAGAAACTAAAAGTGAAGAAAGCGAAGAATCAGAAGCTGAACAAGAACAAGAAACTGAACAAATTGAAGTCAATGAAATAGAAGAAGACGATTTGGGTCCTCCACCCTCGACACCAGACCACGAATGGGAATGTGAATTTTGCACATTTGTTAATGAGGCCAATATAAAAATTTGCTCTATATGCTGTAAAACTCCCAGTATCAAACCAAAAAAAGCTATAAAATCTATATCTCCTCCTAAACAGATTAAAACACCTTTGGTTAAAAAAGAGAAGGGACATGCCAAGGAGAAAGAAAACGAAAAGGAAACTGTCAAGGATCATAAGGATAAAAGTGGTACGATTAAGAAGAAACCATCAACGTCGTCACAGTCATCAACCATGCAACACACTACAACAAATAACACTGAAACTACGAAAATTACAAACAACATTCAGACAACGAACACAGACTCTGCTCACACTACAGACGATGCCAACAATTTAACGCTCAAAACGAAAGGTATGCGTAGGAGAATTTCCTTTTTGGAAGGAACCAAACTCTTTTAAAAAACATCAAGTCCAAACAAACAAACCAAATCACAGCCCCAACAAATCCATACCACCATTTTATTAATCTTAATAACCGTAATTATAATTAATAATGATCTTCATAACATTTTATACATTTTGAAAATTATTTAATTTTTTTATTTATACCTAGATTAACAAAATATTTAAATACATCCTCAAATTAATATTAAAAATTTGTTAAACCCTACACCAGTGTTGTTTTATTAATGAAATGTAAACTATTTTGTAGAATCTGTGGAGGACATTTGGGCTACATTGGATGAGAATATTCAAGCTACAGCCCATGAGGTCACACGTAAGGCTGAGTCTAAAAAGTCGTCAAAAGCATCTACAGCTTGCGGTACTTCTTCGAAGTCAGCAAGTGTTGAGCGACAGGAAAACGATTCACGACAGTCTCAGGCCAGAGAAATAGGTACTTCACCACCACCTCAAAGTATTTCCACTCAAGTAGGTTTTCAATATTGAAACGTACATAATATTCATAGCATTAATGCACCTTTCAATTTCACTCTAGACTTATGACACTTTACCCATACATAAACCAGAAACTAGGGAAGAACCTATTGCGAAACCCACATCACAACCCTTGTATAATGATATGATACAAGTAAGTAGGCCATTGAAATAAAAAAACTCCTTTTCGTTTACACCTTCCTAATTTCATTTTATTTTGTTAGCAAACAAATTTTCCTCCATCTCCCAAGATACAAGATTTGAAATCTTTCGAAGCCGAAGTTTTAAACAAGATACACAATATCAGTCATGTACCCTCTCATCATCACTATCAGAACAATCATCATCATGCGAGTCATCCCATGTACTCCTACAATGAACGTCAGCGTTATCGTAGTAACAACGATTTACGTATGGATGATACAATGTCTATGGATTTTGAGACATTTAATGGCTTAGGAAGGCGTCAACCATCCATAAGTGAATTGATGCTGTTGCAAAAAGTATTTAGTCCACTCTGTTTAAGCATCTTTACCTTTTCATTGATTTCTTTGTTTCATTTCATTTCAAGACTTCATCACAAATGCACTCACCCTTGGGTGGTAGCATCTATGATTTACCCTATCGCGATCTCTCCTCTCTAAGAATCAATGACATGGAAAACCATAAAGTAGTATTAAATAACGTAATTCTCCGATCAATATAATATTTACTAAACAATCTTTCCCTATAGGAATCTGATTTATATAAACACACCACCGAAGAGCTTAATGCTGCCTTGAAATACTGTGGACCTGATATGCATCCTTTAGTATGGTTACGAGACAACTGGCCTAAACTGATACAAACAGTACAAAGTTTGGCTACCAAATATGGTCAGGAGAGAGCTGAGAATACTATTGGCACTATATCACAGATGGAAGCTAGAGATGCCCTACGTCTGCATACCGGCAATATATGGCAAGCAGTATCTGAGTGCATAGAGCAAAGGCAACGCAAATATCGTGACATTTCTTCAAAAGGCAACTTTTCCCGTGAAGATATTGTAACAGCTCTAACCACACATCAAGGCAATGTCGAGTTAGCTCTACTGGACTTAAGTCGCACACAACTGAAACCATTTCTTATGAGAATCTGGGGTTCACCAGGGGGTGTAGAAAATGAGAGCGGTTCTCTGCCTTTGTCCGTTTCGCCACACTCATCAACACAATCAACACACTATAACATGGACAAAGGTTAGCATTAGATTTATTAACAGAACATTTTATGAGGCTCATCATTTCATAGACTTTTTTTGATTCTCCTTCTTCTCCTTATTTTTCTCATTGTAGACATTCATAATTTCCTCAGTGCCAATGCTTCAGAATGCATGCAAACACCAAATGCTACTGGTGCTTTTTCTAACAATAATCAGATGCCATCACCATTTGATCGACCAGCCTCATTAAACTCTCCATTCGAAAACAATAATCACATGCTCGATAATACATCCAGTTACAGTGCGGACAGTAAAGACTTTGCCAACAGCCCGCTACCCATAGATGAAACGATACTCAGCAATAAAAACGTTCTCAAAGATCTTGAGACTCTGATTGGCAATATGGAACACAATCAACAAAATCAAAACGAACAAGTACTACGATCAATACACGATATGATTACTAATGGAAATCCCAAAACCGATAACGAATATGATTCCGAAACCATGAGAATATTAACCAAAAGCCCCATAACCTCAACTAAATTTAAGACTACTCCCAAAGACAACAATTCCGAAAATGAAGCCGATGTTAAGAACTTTGTTTGGCAGCATATACAGGAAATTGTACCCAATCTGGTGCAACAAGTCGAAATGGAATTAATGGAAGATATTGAAGAAAAACTTAAAAATAATGAAGAAGTTGAAGAAAAAACTGAAATTCAAGAAATTACACCGGAACCTGTACAAGAAGCTCCTGCACCACCACCACCGCCACCAATAGATCAAGATGAATTTCTCATGGAAGAAGTTATAAAACCAAATATCAAAAATGCTTCCATTCGAGAAGAATTGCCACCCCAATATGTTTATACTGCAGAAATTGCCACTTTTCAATTGGCATTTGATAAGGGCTTAGAGAGAGAACATGAAGAAGAGTTCGATTTTGAGACATTGGAAGAAGCTTCGCGACTGGTGTTTAAGTTGTTTAAAGCTCCAGATGCTCAAATTCCTCAACCGACAGAAGAGACTGTGCAAGCACCAGTTCAGGATCATAAAAATAACAATGCAGATTTGCCAGAAACACAAGTCCAAAAACCAATTCCGACTTTAGCTCAATCTGTTACTATACTTAACTACATACCACCAACAGAAGAGAATAATTTGGAAAATCAAGTTCAAGTATCTTTCAATTCTGGTACTCAAAATGCAATTCCAAAATCTTCTGACAATGACTCTTTGTTAGAAAATCAAATGCCCTCTAATTCGGCAACTGAATTAAATCCTGAATTGATAACAATACCCAATGTGGTAAATGTGGAAGAGACTCTGGTACAAAATCCATCAGCTTCTGGATCTCGATCAGATTCATTGCTGAACAACAATGAAATCCCAACTACACTTCGTAAAGATAATAACAAGGAAACTATTGTTGAAGTAATAGCTTTTTCTGAAAATCAGTCTGAAGTCTTGCCAGAAATTAATAATCGAAACATATCCGAAAACTTGAGTGTAGAAGAACCACAAGCTCCAAGTGCAGACACTTCACTCAAATCTGATGAAATCCCAAATACATCCCAAAATGTCAATTTACTTGAAACAAATCTTCTAACAGCAGTTCCCACTAAAGTTGGCAATGATGCAGTAACAACGAATGCTGGAGTTTCAAATCAAAATTCTGAACCTCTGAATTCCTCCGAAATCATTAAAAGTCCTGTTCCAACACAAACTGAGGAGCCTTTAGTTAAGGAAGATAACTCCTCAACAAATAATAATAACGCGTCCCCTATGAGCATTAATCAACCTGCAGCATCATTATCTTCGAATGATGGCAACAAAACTCCAATCTCTGAAACAGCTCATACATCTGATTTTACACAACCTATAGAAGAATCAGCAGTAGTTATGAAAGCTAAGGAGAAACATGAAAATCCAACGACATCAAGCCAAAGAGGAAAGTCCAACAAACAATCTAAAATTAGAACTAAAAATATTAATCAATACAAGCGAACTACTTTAAAAGATCTTTCAAAGGAACTAGAACAAGCTGAAAGTGCAATGAGCAATGTTGAAAAACCTCCAACATCTGATATGCCTAACTATTCTGAAACAACAGGAAATACTGCAAATACAACTGAACAAGAGCCTGAAGTGGTAGTTCAAAAAGATAATTCTTCAATAGATCATATACAACCATCTGAAGAAAATATAGAAAATAAATCAGAAACGAGCTCAGTTCCTGTGGAACAACAAGGGGATGAAATACAACCATCTGAAGAAAATATAGAAAATAAATCAGAATCGAGTCCAGTTCCTGAGGAACATGGTAATGTTTCAAAAACTTCTAGCACACCAAAAGAAATAGTTTCCGTAATTGAGACAAAAACTTCAACAAATGAAGCTTCAGCATCTTCATCAAATAAAAGAGTATCCAAAATTCCTGTACGCAGAACTGCCAGCAATAAAAGTTTAATAAATACATCCACCACAATCTTAAGAAAAACTAATTCAAATGAGATTGTAAAAACGAATGAACAAAATGTGCCTACAACAGTGCCATCACAGGTGGTGGAAATCCCTCAAACACCTAGCGATTTAAACAACTCAAACAATCTTACTAATGATGAGATAACCGAGGATGAATCAGAAGAGGAAGAACTTTATAGTATCGAAAGCGATACCTCCACAACGGAAGTAGCTTCTAGAGCTGATCAATTTCAATCTCCTAGTACCACTAGTGAAATGTTCTTGGTAATACAACAGGAGACAACAGACAATAATAGTACTATTGCACCATCTACAAGCAGTTCCACACTACACTCTACTATCAGTCAATCTTCTGGTTTAAAATCACCAACTGAATTCATACCATCCGGTGATCCTGCGAAACAAAATCTCTCCGAATTAGTGGAAGACACCCAAAGATTGATCAAACAAATGAAAGATGAAATAAGTATAGATGATTTCGAATCTTCTACAGATGACGAAGAGTACACAGACGAATACTCCGATGAGTATGATGATGAAGAAGAAGGAGAAGAGGAGGAAGATGAAGACTGGGAAGAGGGAGAAGAGGAGGAAAAAGAAGACGAAACCGGGGATGAAGAGGAATATGATGATATCACTGAAGATATAACTGAGGGCAACGAAGAAGAATCCATCAGCAAAACTCAATCTCCTCTACTAAGCCAAGAATCTCAAGATCACAGAGATATACACAACAGCTCAGCTTTGTCCAATATAACCGAATCATCTGATCATTCACAAACATTACTATCTGATCACTTCGAACAGGATGAGCCAATAACTGAAACAGAAACTAATGATACACAAAATCAAATTAACTCTAATGAAGAAACCGCTGCATTTGTTGAAACGGAAAATACTTTACCAGAGCTGCCAGTAGAAACTGTGATTGATAATCACTTAGAGCAGTCACAATCTTCTATGCAATTTGTAGAATCGGAAAATGTTTTACCGGAAATGTCAGTTGAAACGGTTTTACAGAATGTCAATTCATTATCACCAAAAGATAAAGCATTGAACACACAACAGCATTCTAATACACAACATGATTCCGAAGACAAATCTGCATTAGTTAGTGGTTTAAGAGATATACTTTCAGCTTCTACTACTATAGCCAATGAATTGGAGACAGAGAATGACTTACCGGAGTTGCCCGCGGAGGTAGTTGTAGTCAATTCGAGAAATGCTGAAGCGATACTGGAACCTGTAGCAATTTCACAAAGTAAACAAGAACTACCTACAACTTCTAATAAACAATCACCAACAACAGAGGTTAACTCAAGCGATTCGACTAAAGAAATTCAAATTGAGGATCAGTCTACCAAAATATCAGATGATCTACCATCAACAATAAAGAAGCAACAAACAGAAACTGAGGCTTTATTGTCAAATCAGGAAGCTAATTTACCTATAGGGATTAATATTGAGGATCAGTCCATGGCAACTTCGGAGGATATAACATCAACAATAAATACACAACAAACAGAAACACAGACTTTATCTTCAAGCCAGGCAGCTGATTCTAATGAAGCAGATTTCGCAAGTGTCAAAAATGATATGCCATCAACAAGCAATGTTAAAACAACATCTCTACCGAAACCAAACTCCCAACGCAAAGTTTCAGAAGCAAATAACGACAATCTGCCCTCCACTAGCAAAGGAATAACATCCTCCGAAAACAAGAAAAAGTCAAATGAGGAAGTTAAACCTTCAGTGAAAAAACCGCTAACAGCTAGTAAAATACCTAAACCTAAAGAAATGCCCAAGGAAACAAAAACAAAAGAGACCACAACAGCAAAACCACAAAATGAGTTCAAAAAGAAATTATACACACGATCAAAATCATTTTCTGGACCAACAACACCAATTGGCATAGCATCCGTAAAAACTATAAGTCAAAAGTTTATAAGTCCAACTCTTAATGCAGCCCCAACACCCACACCAAAAGTATATCCCACCGTTAAAAGAAAGTCTTCTATTGTAGAAGCTATAAATAAACTTACTAGACCCACTCCCTCTAGCACAGAAAAGCCTGCTGTAAGTTCTCTATTCAAGTCGAGAACTCAGCCACGCATACCGAAAAAGAAATATCACGAAACTTGTTTTTCGGATGATGACTATGAATCCTCATCGGAAGAAGAAGAACTAGAACCTTTGGAAATAAGGCAACGTAAATTAAGTGTACCCGTTTTCAGAGCATATCCAAGTGTTCAAGAGCAGGTCCAAGAGGAGGTTAATACGGAGGTAAATTAATTATACAAAATTTTAAAAAGGAAGCATTATATGTCTTTATTTATTCCAGGAACTTGTTCAAAAGTTCATGAAGGAAGAGCTGACTGCCACTATTGCAGAAGCTCAAATTGCTGCCGCTTTGGTTTCTATGAAATTCCAACAAGATGTTTCATTATGGGCGGCCAAAGAGTGCAGCGATCTTGATCATGCTGTGGCCTTACTTAAACAGGAATGTGAACTTTGTAGCGGCACTTATGCCCTTAACCAAATCGTATCCATGCTCAAATGTACCCACAAATGTTGCAAGCAATGTGCCAAAACTTATTTCACCGTACAGGTAGCAAAGACATTTTAAATTTTCTTGAGATCAATTTAATGTTCATTTGTCAATTTATTATAGATAACCGAACGCAGTATTAACGATTGTAGTTGTCCTTTCTGCAAATTACCCGAACTGCATAATCAAACCGAACATGAAGATGAAAATCTGGAATATTTCTCCAATTTGGATATATTTTTGAAAAACATACTTGAGCCAGAAGTTCACGAATTATTCCAACGTAAACTAAGAGATCGTACACTACTCAAAGATCCCAACTTTAAATGGTGTGTACAATGCTCTTCGGGATTCTTTGCTAGACCCAAACAAAAGCGTCTTATATGTCCCGATTGTGGTTCAGTAACCTGTGCTCAATGTCGGAAGACGGTAAGCTAAATTTTATATATTCCATTACATACAAAATTTCTAAGATTTGTTAATGGGCTTGCAGTGGCAAAAACAACATGAAGGCATTTCCTGCGATCAATATTCTGAATGGGAATCAGCCAATGATCCAGAGGTACAAGCTAAGGGAGTTCAACAGCATTTAGAACAAAATGGCATCGATTGTCCCAAGTGTAAATTTAGATATTCTTTAGCCAGGTAAATATGCACTATTCTCCAGAGTATACCACCAATAACAATTCATAACTATTTCTTATAGAGGTGGCTGCATGCATTTCACTTGCACCCAGTGCAAATATGAATTTTGTTATGGCTGTGCCAAACCCTTTATGATGGGTGCCAAATGTAACATTTCACCATATTGTGCCAAATTAGGTCTTCATGCCCATCATCCGCGTAATTGTTTGTTCTATTTGCGTGACAAACTGCCCATACAGCTGCAGATTCTGCTGAAAAATAATGCTGTACCATTCGAAGTGGATCCCATTGAAACGCCCGAGAACAGTGTGGATGATAATGAGCCAAGTTCATCGAAAAAGAAAGAGTTGCTTTGTCCCATACCCATACAAAAAGAAACACCTACTGGTCTGGTAGATACCAGATGTAATGGTGATGTGCCCGAAAAACATGCAGGAATGTGTCGGTAGGTCACTCCTTATTTTTTAATGTTTACAAATATATTATTTATATGATTTCAATGTTCTTTAAGCACTCATTATGTGGAATATTTAACGGCCAAAGTGGCTAAAGCGAAAATTGATCCTTTACCCATATTCGATTTGACGGATTGTGTTCAAGAGTTACGCCGTCGCGGCATAGCCTTACCAGAACGTGGTCCTTGGGATACAGATGAAATCTATAAAACTATGTGTGCTGAGGTAATTTTGAATTTTTGAAAATATCATAGATGTTTGTTTAAAGAGTTTTTTTTATTAATTTTTAGGTTATACAAAAGAATATACCTTTAGATATGGCTTAAAAACGCATTATTGGGACTGTCTTTTTTTTTTAAAAATACTTTTTTTCATATTTTAAATTTAGTTTTAACTTAAATTCATGTTTTATTAAAAATATTTATTTATATTGTCCAAATAAATTTATAAATTATATTGATTGTAGTAACAAAACAGTTTTGTCTTTTAATTTAATGGAATCGGTTTTATTTTCAAGGCCCAGTATTCCGTTATTTATAAATTTATATTACAAAATATCAATAAAACCAAAATCTCGAATTTTCACTCAATACTATATTTTCAAAATCTTTATTTATCACTAAAGATTGCTTAACAGATGGCTCCAAACAAATAAATGGCGAAACGGGAGCGGGCATTTGTACTTCCAACTTCCAAAAGGCCATTCTCATGGGATACTATCCTTCAATCTTTCAAGCGGATATATACGTCATTTTTATTTGTGCTAGGGAGTGTTTAAGGAGAAGAACCAAGGGATTAAGAAGGGCGGACTGCCTGGCAAATAGGTGCGCTAGTCCCCAATATATTGGTCCTGAGCTCTTCTTTGGTATTCTCCCAGGATATACCAAGGCTAAGTGTGACTCTTGGGTAAATTCTGAATTCGTTCGCCATTGGGAAGCAATACCAGGGCTCAGACAAACAAAGCGTTTTATAGCACTGTCAAGGGGAAAATCCCAAAAGCTATTAGAGCTAAACAAAAGCGATCTTAGAGTACTAACTGGGTTATTTACTGGACATTGTGGTCTAAGATACCATCAATTCAATCTAGGCAACTCTATAACGAATCTATGCAGATTATGTGGACTACAAGATAACATATTCTATCTAACTGCCCATTATTGGGGACTCGCAGAGCAAAGTAGGGGGAGGGGGGCTGCCTTTCTAACCCCAAAAGAAATTTACAATCTCTCACCGACAGAACCAGTTACCCTGATGAACCAACGGGCTGCACAAAAGATCCACTTTCAGGTCGCAGTGCTTTGTGCCCCTTCAATCTAAACTAATCACTAAAATCTCAATTTTACCACATTTTTCAATGAATTTTTACTTTTTTTAACTAAAATTTTGATTTTGTTTAATAAAATCTGAATTTTCAATTAAAATCTCAATTTTAACTAAAATCTTGATTTTTACAAAAAATTGCAATGTTTTACCAAAATGTCGATTATTTGTAAAAAATTCGATTTTTCAACAATTTTTTTTTTTTCACTTTTCACGAAATCTCATTTTTTCTCCAAAATTTGGACTTTTCACTTTCTTCTAGATTTTTCTGTAAAATTTCTGCTTATTAACTGATATTTTCCAAAATCCTTTTGTCAAAAAAACAATGAATTAAAGTAACAGTTTTAAGTCCGCAGTTTTAGACAAAGTTTTATATCAAAATGGTGTAAATTGCCACTACAAGAACTAACGGGTTGTGCTGAGTGACTCTGGTCCCATTAAATAATAAAAAAACAATATAGTAAAATCATTTTTTTATTTTCAATTCTTTCTCACACGTTTTGCAAATAAAAAAATTAACAAAAAATTTGCATTTTATTTTTAAACTTACGACAAAAAAATTAATAATCAAATACACTTAATTATATCACAAGATTTTTCCTCATAAGCAAATTTCACAAAAGTAATATTTAACTCAAAAATATGCATATTTTTCAAGCAAAGAATTTCCATTGGGATTAGAAGGATACTGAAATTTGAACTTTGTACTTGCTTTGATCTCAGCTAAGTTGAGATATTACAAATGAATGCAGTTATGGACAAAAAGCTCTCTCACGCGATATCTCTTTTCAACGCAAGCACATACATATTTAATTGAACTCATACTTTTATAAAAAAAAATACACTAAACTGATTTGAAAGCTGGTATCGACAAAAAGCTCTTTCTGCTTTCACAATGTTATGAAATACAAACAAACCCAATCAAAGCTTTTCTGGTGGCGAATACTTAACGAAAGAGCTGTTAAAAAGATAAGCTTAATGAATATCTTTCAGACGCCAAAGTCAAATGAGAGTAATATTAAAATTTGGAAATTTTCTAAAAATAGAAACAGTATGTCAAATATCAAAAACTGTTTATGTTCACAATATGTTGTTGCCACAACAAATTTTCTAAAATTCTTACTATTAGCTGTGAAATGAAAGCTATTGTCTGGCTATAAAATTGTTTCTATACGCATTACTTTTTAAAACATTCTTTAACAAATGGATATGTTTTTACACATCTGTATTGCTTTTTTTATTATATTTTAAGAAATTATTTGGGATTTGTTTCTATTTATTTAAAAAAAGACACAGGTTTTTTATGTACGCCACGCGTTAAATAGATATTTAGATATTTTCCCAATAGGAGAAAGCCAACAAAAAAACGGATCATTATTTTTATTGCTCTAGTTTTTTTTTTTGTTCAATAACTTTTTTAAGCAATAAAAGTCATTATGTGCTTAATGAAAATACATTTGGCCAAAAAAAGAAACAAACACATGTACATACATATGTTAAATAATATAGATTTTTAGTTATATGAAAAAATCAGACTATTTGGGAGATTTTAATGTGTTAATATTTTTTTGTTCTTTATTGCTATAAATTTTTTATTAAATATTTTGATGGATTTTTTTTTAAACAAACCATATTGTATCCTATTTCTTAATGCAAATATGCTAAAGCCATTTTTTAGGAAAATGTTTCAATATATTGTTTTGAATTTTATCATTATATGATCTGGCAGCTTTAATAAATGAATAATTGTGAGACGTGAGGTAAGCAAATAATTGCCTTCACGTATGTGGGTACAAATGTTTCCAATTAATATTTCATATATTTATTATTTATTTATTAAAAATATTCTTCTTGTTAGTTTTAGCAAATATTGAAAATGTGTTTAATATGTTGTTGTTGTTGGTATTTTTAAATTTTTATTTATTTATTTTTGTTTATTTTACACAAAATTTTATAAATCCCACCTTCTTGTTAAATGCCATAAAATAAAAAGAATTACTAATGTTCAGTTATTACAGCTAGTTGTGGGTTTAACGAACTGATGAATACTGTTCAAGACTTCTAAATTCCTTAAACTTAAGATCAAACACTTAAGCAAGATGAGAGTCTTAACTCTCCATTGCATTTCTAAGTATAATTTTAATTTCACATCTTTGAATCGAAGATCTCAATTTGTAAATCCTTCATCCAATCTTTATTCCACTGTATTTCTTTCAATTTTGAAAATAAATCACAAAACATATTTCAATATTTATTATTGTATATAATTTCTTGATGTTTATTTTTGCAATAGGTATTTTTTTTGTATTTAGCAAATACAAATATTTAGATTAAATAAATTAGTATTAACAATATTTGGGTAAATAATAATTCATACATACAACTACCGTTAAACATACATATATACAATACAATAACATATATTTTTAATTAATACTATTAAACTTTTAATAATAAAATCGTTTTAGAAAATATTTGTTTTTTGGTTGTAATTTTCTTTCAATAAAAGTATAAATATTCTATTTTACTAAATATTAAAACTTAACTTAGTTTTAATTAATTAATTAATGGAAGTAATTTTTCAGTTTTTTTTAACTAAAGAGCTAATTATTATTTATAAATATGTATATAACATAATAGATACCAGCTCTGTTTATTTATAATTAAATTAAAATTAAGTAAAAAACTACAAAATTATTTAACAGTGTCACCCATCCCAAAAACCCCCTTACCACAACTCACAAAATCCTGTTTGTCAGTCTTAAAGAAAGCTTTAACATTTATGAGCAACACTGTCTTTTTCAACACCTAAAAGTCGTATAAAATTTATACTGATATTTTATTTCGTCTCTACTATATATCTATGTAAATATAGTTTGTATTCGGATTACCGTTTACAGTTTATGCCTTAACGCTTTACACAAAAAGCTCTGTTTTATAGGAAAAAGTTTGTGTTTTCTTAAAAGCCTTTTCTACAAAAAAAAGTAAATTTTCGTTTGCACGAGGGCGAGTATTTCAAAGTTCAAAATATACTTTTGGCTTAAAAAGAAAGACTTTAAAAACTTGTATACATTATTGTCGGAATTGACATTTGTTTAACCCACTCATTTCTGAATAAAATGAGCTTTTTTCTATATTAACTTAATTCGCTACATCCACCACTACTAAACTTTCTATTTCGGTATCAAAATTATTATCGCAAGTCTCCAGCCATTCTAAAACACGCTTGCGCACAGCATTTTGATCCAAAGGACTTTCGATGCCATAATTAGACATCATGCGTTTAAGGCGGGATTTATTCTCATCGGCTGAATTGCGTCCCTCTCTTTGATTCAAATAAATGCAGGAATCTTGATCCGGACTGGGAGATATAAGTGTGGCTGATTTGGAGGTTGATATGCGACACTCCACCCATCTATCTTTCATGTATTTGGAAATCTCAGTGACTTTGCATCTATCTTCAGGATCATGAGATAAATATTTACGGAAGCATCTCATTAAACGGGCCGAGAATCTTCTAAAACTATCGGGTATTTTGGTAGTTTTACGCTGTTCATATTTCATAAAATTACAATACTTGACATCTTTAACCCAATCGGCAGCATTCCAGGGAGCACTGCCAGTTAAAATATGAAACATTAAAATGCCAAATTGCCAGGAATCACTGGCGGGCAAACAGGTAAATCTTTCATTCTTGACAATTTCCAAAACTTCGGGTGGAACAAAACTAGTCCAGGTATGTTTTACTTTATGCACTAAAACACCTTTTTTGGTAGTGGCTCCAAAATCGCACAACTTAACACGACTAAAGTCGGGTTTAAAAACTAAAACATTTTCTAATTTCAAGTCACGATGTACCAAATTTTTCGAATGCATAAAGCCCAAGGCCGAGCTCAATTGTTCAGTAATCATTTTACAGGCATTTTCATGCAAACCATTAGGGCCCAAGTTAGAGGCCAAATCACCATATTCAGCATGTTCCATGGCAAATACATAATAGTCCTTGGTCTGAAAAGCCACATTATAAGCACTCAAAATATGGCGATGATGAGACAACTCGTAATTGAAATGAAATTCCTTTTGAAACTCCTGCACAGTGGTTAACTCAGCATGTACGGCCTTAAGCACTACTTCAGTTTGGGTGGGTCTATGCATGGCTAGCATTATCTTGGCAAAGCAACCCTCAGCCAAGATCTTAGTGATGTTGTATTGATCGTTAAAGGACATCAAAGGCAACTCAATGTCACGTATGATATGTATCAAGCCACTATCATCCTTATCCGGTTTGCGATAAATGCTGCTGCGACGACTCACCGAAGCTCTTGAAGTAGGCACCTCCAGTTTCATGCTGGCACTGGTGGGTGTCAAGGGTGAATTGCAACGGTTGTTGTCCGTACAGGTGCTGCTATTGTTGTTGCTATTACGAGAGTTAGTGCTGCCACCATCACCGGCACGCGATCTTCTCAAACGGAATGAAAATGTACGTTTTTCTAAAAAGAGATCAAAAAAACAATTTAAGAAAATTAATAATTGTTTTGTTTAATTTTAATAAATGACATGATTTGTTTCAATATTAATAATACTTTAATTGTTGTTTTTTTTAGTTGCCAAGTCTTTTTAAAGCTAATTTATTTAGTTTTCTATTATCTCTAACCGCCAAAGAACACAAAAACAAAAATCGAATGTGTTCATCATCATTTATATAAAATCGACTAGAAGTGCGAAGAAAAAAGTAGTGAAATTAATTTCTAATTTTCATTTAGGTATGAGTGTATATAGGCGTTCATCTGGTATATGAGGAAGATGAGTTGGTTCCTCTTTAGTATTTAAAGGTGATTTATGCCCGTGTATATGCTCACAACTTTGATGTTGATGTGTCATTTTCCAATAAAACATAATTTTCTTGTGAAAGTATTTTATAAATGTGATGTTTTATTTCTGAATTTTTTTTTCAGAATATGTCATAAAAACTATAATTCATATTTTCTCTATATAGAAAAAGTGTCATAAACTTATTTGTTCTAGAAAATAAAATAGTACGAATACATTTTTGGATTATTTATGATCTTGATAAAAAATCATAAATTTTGGGAAAAATTTTGTAATGCAAAGATTTGATGAGAATTAAGTTTTATTCGGAGCTTTTAAGCTTTATAATAAAACGAACTTTTTAATTTGCGAACATCAATTAAAAACCTTATACACGAATTTAAGTTAATTGATGTCAAATAAAAGTAAAATTAATTATATTTTTAATTATCCTACTGATCTAATAGATTTGTTCAAATCCATTTGTTCGAAAAAATATTTAAAACTTTAGAAAATTTCCACGTAACATGATCTTGCAAGTAAAAGCTGTTTGATCTGTTTCCAAATATAACCTGGTGTCATTAATTTGTGACATATTTTTTTATTATTAATTTTTTCAAAAAACTAACTAATTACTCAATACAATAAGATTAATTGTTAATGTCGGTGAGAATATAAATGTTAGAAAACAACATAAGACGACGTAGATCCAAAAGTAGACCTTGGGGAGACACAAAAATTGAAAATGATTTTTCAAATCAACTTATATGAGAAAAACAAACATGATCTTGATTTTGTGGTGTTTTTGATTTATTAAAACATAATGATCTTCGACCTAAATGTTTTTTAATATTTTTTTTTTCAAATTTAATGATAATCATTTTTCAGAAAACAAAACTCTTTGTTTTCGAAATTAAATAATAAAATGAAAAGAAAAAAAAAGAAAATTAATTTTGAAAAAAAAAAATTAAAAATTAAAAAACGCATTTATTACTTTTTGTGTATTGTATTTTTATGATTTATAGCACACATATAAAAAATTATAAAAAATCGAAAAAAATAACACTTTGACAATACAAACAAACAAAGTAATGAACCACTTAAAGCTAAAACAAAGTTAAATACAACAATAAAAAACAATAAAAAAATGTGTTAAAAAAAATTAAATCTAAATAAATAAAATAATAATAAAAGACGCCGTAGTGTCTAACCAATGCGTCAATTGCGTTTGAAAAAAAACACCCACACAACTGACCGACCGATCGACAAACTTTCGAACAAACGTGATAATGATCGTGTTCATATAAATTTTACACAAAATTTCTTTCCTACAGCCAGAAATCAAAAGAGTTCTGGGAAATGTTGAACATTAAGAAATAATTTCTTTCTATTCCTACTATCTATTGTTTATTTTGACAAATGTTTTATTATTAGTTAGTTAGTTGTTTTAGTATTTGTAGCAAAATTTTCGTTTGGCAAATTTTATGTTTAAACATGATGTCAGTCAAGTCATTTTTTTTTTTGTGTTTTTGTTTAATACTCAACTAATTTATTATAGTTTTCATTTTCTTGGAAATAAATTCTATAAATTTTAAATCAAATGATTTTTTTTACAGACTGATCTATAGACATCAAACATTCATATATATTTTTTAATTAAAAAAAATATTTCAACTTTCTTCGTCTTTTTTTAAAGTTAGACAAAAAGACGTGCTAAAGAGAAGGTTTATGTGTGTATGTGTGTGAAGGAGAAATGTTAAATTTAGTTTATATTATTTACTATGGGGGGTCTGGCCAATATTTTTGTTTTATTTTTGGCTTAAATCACATTGTTTTAAATATAAATTTGTTTATAAATACAGGCACAGGTTTTAACACGCATTGCAAATTCTATTTTCTTTCTCTAATTAGCTAAAAATAAATACAACTTCTTATATTAATGATTTCCTAAAATACTTAGACGTTTTACACGATCCTCATTACTAGCAATTATTTGCTCTTAACCTGTGTTCATCTCTCTCTCTCATTTTACTTTGTCTGTCCCTCTCCTCTCTTTTTGTGTTTTTAGTAATAATTTTTTTATTTTATTTGGCAACGCACCTTTAGCTAAAATCTTTCCATCACCTAATCTTCCTTCCCCAAACCATGTAAGTCCCCTCTTCTTGCTGTTACAGTGCAATAGTCGTTTTGTAAATGTAGCCACCACGTTGTTTTATTTTGCTTTTTTTTAATATTTTTTTTTTTAATTTAAGCGACTTTGGGGGCATTGCTGACGTCAATGGGAATTATACAAACAACAGAACAGTATATGAAAAAAAAAAAAAAACATTGATCACCAACTGCCCCCTCTGTCTGACTGTGTATTTTTTTATGGATTTTCTTGTTTCATGCTCTAACATCTCTATATGATCGAACTTATGGTTGGCTAGACACACGCATGAAATGTTAACATTAAGACACTTTTACGCATACATAGGTGTAGAGAAAGATCAATTCCTAGAAATTTGGAAAAGAATTAAAAAAGTGATCAGAGTTTAGATGATCTAAAACTAGGCAAATTTTAAAATCATTTCACTTTAAAAAAACGATATTGATCGTGAAACATTTGAGTGATCGCCCCTAAAACAAAATCAAGTTCCTCCATAATAGTTCCCATAAACATCAGGAAGAAATGAAAGCAATAAGGACTACCGCAGGTTCGATTTATAAATAGTGGTTTTGAACTGCATTTGCCAAAATGTAAATAACATATCTATATAGACGGCTTTAGATCAGCTACAGGAAGTCATTTATATACAGAACTGTTGGGAACTACTTATTAGTCAAAATACTACAATTTTCGTTTTCTAATTTCTTTCAAAATAATCAAAACCATTCGAATTTCGTTGATTAAATAAAATGATCAGAGTTTTTAGTTGTTTTTTGCTCATAAAACTAAAATTTATTTTCAATTCAATATTTCCTCTTTTCCGATAAATTCAATTAAACATATATTTTTATTGTTAAATAAGTAATTTGATTTTTATTGTTGTTTATATGTTTAAAAAAAACATACATATAAAATATACATTTAGTTACGTAGTGGGTTTAGTACTCAATTTTTTGTTACACTTTTTTTGTAAATTTATTTTTAAATACTTATTTTTGTTTCTTGTTTAATTTTTAAATTTTTTTTTTGTCAGGGTTCGGTTATGGGAATTTTCCAGAAGGCGCCCTACCAGATAAACTGTCAACACTTTTCAAATTATTATGATGAAATCAAGGTCGTCAGTTCAATAAATCATTGTGTGTGTTGAGTGTAAAACAAAGAGGGTGAGGGAGCGAGAGAGAAAGAGGGTTAAACAGTAATCAAATCTGTGTGTATTCGGTTAGTAGGTGTTTATTTAACAATTGAAAATTGATGGAAATCCTGCTACGAAAATAGTCATGTATATAAACAATCATGTTTGTTTTTATATGAACGTCAGTTTTGCAATTGAAATAAATGAACTCATTTGTAACACGAGGTATAAAGTGCATTTTTTTTTATTTTTAAATCTTAATTTAATGTATATTGTGGGTGGACTCGTGTTTGCTAGGTTAGTTGGGATTTAAATTGAAATGTTCATTCAGTCCTTTGCTTTATATTTATAAGGCAATGAATGGTTTCGCCTTATAATGAGTACACGGAGAGAAACTTTGTTGCATTAAACTCAATTAGTTTTGATACAGTCTATAGACTATAGTCTGCTCAATGGTATAATCTATAGCCTAGACTATAGAACAATCTATAGTCTAGACTATAGACGAATCTATAGTCTAGACTATAGACGAATCTATAGTCTAGTCTATAGACCATAGTCTAGTCTATAGATCTATAATCTAGTTTACAGAATAGTCCATATTATAGATCAATCTATAGTCAAAACTAAAGACCAATCTATACTATAGACTATAGACTAATCTATTGCCTAGACTTTAGAATAGTGTACTGACTAAGACCAATCTATAGTCTAGACTGTAGACCTAGTCTAAAGATCAATCTATAGTCTAGACTAAAGACCAATCTATAGTCTAGACTAGAGACCAATCTATAGTCAAGACTTTAAACAATCTGTAGTCTAGACTTAAGACCAATATGTAGTCTAGACCAATCTATAGTCTAGACCGATCTGTAGTCTAGAATATAGACCAATCTATAGTCTGGTCTACAGAATAATCTATGGTCTAAACTATAGACCAATCTATAGTCTAGACTATAGACCAATCTATAGTCTAGACTATAGACCAATTTACAGTCTAAACTATAGGCTAACCTATAGTCCAGACTATAGCGAATCTATTGCCTAAACTTTAGAATAGTGTAGAGTGTACAAACTAAAGATTACTTCATAGTCTGTTATATAGTCCAAACTATATATAGTCTAGCTTAGAGACTATGGGCTATTCAAAAGTTCTGACTATGGACTAGTAACTAGACCAATTTATAGTTTTCTAGTCCAGCATAGAGACCATATTATATTTTATACCACATTTTCTCTAGGTGTATGTGATTTATATTTAAGAGTAATGAATGTATACTATCTTACATGCATGTACCTCTCGCTGTCAACTTAAGTGCAGGATATTTTTTATATACCAAAAGTTTAAGCTTTTACTATATAAAAGTTGTTACGTTTCAACCCATAATGAAGACATTTTT